TTTTTTTTTTTTTTTTTTTTTTTTTTTTTTTAGATGGAGTTTTGCTCTTGTTGCCGAGGCTGGAGTGCAATGGTGTGATCTTGGTCCACTGCAACTTCCGCCTCCCGGGTTGAGCAATTCTCTTGCCTCAGCCTCCCGAGTAGCTGGGATTACAGGCGTCCGCCACCATGTCCAGCTAATTTTTGTATTTTTAGTAGAGACGGGGTTTCACTATGTTGGCTAGGCTGGTCTCAAACTCCTGACCTCACGTGATCCACCCTCCTCAGCCTCCCAAAGTGCTGGGATTACAGGCATGAGCCACCATGCCCGGCCTAATATGCCATTTTCAACTGGTCATATCACATTTTTCTTTCTCTTTTTTTGTTTTAAAGACTAGGTCTTGCTGTGTTGTCCAGGTAGGAGTGTGGTGGCTATTCACAGACACGATCATGGCTCACTGCAGCCTGGAACTCCTGAGCTCTAGGGATCCTCCTGCCTCAGCCTCCCAAAGTGCTGGAATTACAGGTGTGAGCCACCACACCTGACCAGTTTTTCTTTTTTCGCTATGAAATATCTGTGCCTTCTATCCAATCTCAGAACTTCCAGATGTCAGGTTTTTCTGTTTTTTCTTTTTCTTTCTTTTTTTTTTTTTTAAGAGACAGCCTCTCTCTGTGACCCAGATTCACTGCAGCCTCAAAACTCCTGGGCTCAAACAATCCTCCTACCTCAGCCTCCTGAGTAGCTGGGACCACAGGCACGCCCCCCGCCACACCTGGCTAATTTTTTTTTTTTTTTTAACTTTTTTGTGGAGATGGGGTTTCACCATGTTGTCCAGGCTTTTTTGTGGAGATGGGCTCAAGTGATCCTCCCGCCTCGGCCTCCCAAACAGGTGTCAGTGTTGATGCAGCCAACTCTGCATCATTTTGGACAGTCAGTGGATTCAGCTGTTGCAGGAAAAAGTTTTCTTACCTCTGGGATCAGATCCTGGGGTAGCTGTGGCTGGCTTTGTGACTCCCAAGTGTGTGCCTGCTGGGGAAAGGATCGGGGTCAGGCCTTTACCCACCGCAGCTCTTCCAGATCTTGCTGATGTCTTGATTGTGAACCCGGACTCATCGGCGTCAGACCCTACGGTTTTCCACAAGCGCTATTTGAAAAAGATCCGAGATCTGGGCGAGGTGAGGGTGGGGCCCGGGCTGCTAAAAGGCCCACCTGGTCGGGGAGGAGTTTGGGGGTTGAGGATAAATACCTGCCTAAGGTGATTCTCAGGAGATGTGGGTGAGACCCTCTGCTTTGAGGGAGGTCTAGGTGCCAGGGAGTCTTAATAGCGCGGAGTGGGCTGGGCCTGGGGTATTCCGAAAGCATCTGCCTGGAGGAGTGGCCTGGGAAATCGGGGGTTGGGGAGTGGTGCAGGGATTGGGGAGATGGAGCTGACCCTGGTGCGCTCCCGACCAGGGTCACTTCGGCAAGGTCAGTTTGTACTGCTACGATCCGACCAACGACGGCACTGGCGAGATGGTGGCGGTGAAAGCCCTTAAGGCAGACTGCGGCCCCCAGCACCGCTCGGGCTGGAAGCAGGAGATTGAGATTCTGCGCACGCTCTATCACGAGCACATCGTCAAGTACAAGGGCTGCTGCGAGGACCAAGGTGGGCGGGACCCGGCGAGCCTTAGATACTCGAGGGGGCGTGATTAGAGCGGGGGGTGTGGCCTTGTAGGCGGGGCCAGTCTGGCCTAGCCAATTAGAGACTCAACCCCAGGCTGCAGAACGCGATTCTTGGCAGCTGGGTGAGCGTGGTCAGGCTGCCTCCTTCCTATCTGGGCGGTGCTACCTGCTGGGGCCAGGATGGACGGGAGCCACCAGCAGCTCCCTCAAGTGAGAATGGGGTTCTGTGCGCGGGTCTTGGCCTTCCCTCCCGACATTGGAGGGGCTCTGCTGGGCTCAGGGTAGGCGATCCCCGGCCCGCCCTTTATCGCCCCCCACGGGGGCCGCCCCTCTCCGCGGCAGGCGAGAAGTCGCTGCAGCTGGTCATGGAGTACGTGCCCCTGGGCAGCCTCCGAGACTACCTGCCCCGGCACAGCGTCGGGCTGGCCCAGCTGCTGCTCTTCGCCCAGCAGATCTGCGAGGTGGGTCGGCCCCGCCCCTGCTTCCGGAGCTTGCCCCTTCCTCTTCAGCTTGGGCTGGCCTCAGCTGTCCGATGCAGTCTGCTCTCACGCTCCGCCCCTGCTTATTTGCCCAGGCCCTCTTGTCCTTGCGCTGGTGCCTCCGAATTGGTCGGCTCGCTTGGCCACACCCCCTCCCCCAAGGGACCACGCACTGCAGGCTTGGCCCCTCCCAACTCGCCCTCCTGCCCAGCGTTGCTAGTCTAACCCCGTCCCTGCTCTCTGGCTTAACCTCCTTTTGCTTGGTGCCACGTGCCATCCGGCCCTCTCCAGCGGCCGGGTAGCCACAGGCCTGACCTGACTGTGCCCCAGCCTTGCTGGCTGCTCTGGTCCTGCGGTCGACCCCGGCCGAACCCCGCCCTGTTGAAACTGACGAGCCCTGCCCCGCCCCCAGGGCATGGCCTATCTGCACGCGCAGCACTACATCCACCGAGACCTAGCCGCGCGCAACGTGCTGCTGGACAACGACAAGCTGGTCAAGATCGGGGACTTTGGCCTAGCCAAGGCCGTGCCCGAAGGCCACGAGTACTACCGCGTGCGCGAGGATGGGGACAGCCCCGTGTTCTGGTGACCAGGCGGGGTGCAGTCTGAGGGGGTGCTGGGGTCACTTGGAACAGGCAGGGTGGAGTAGACGGATGCTGAGTCTCATGACGGCTTGGTCTCGGTGAAGTGCGTGCGGGGGTGGGGCCTATGGAGGCAAGGGGCTGTGTATAGAGTGCGGCTTGGCCTGGTGAGCAGGGTTAACCCGGCCTAGCCAATGAACGCCTCACCCCGCTCAGGCTGCGCTCTTTAGGGTGGGTCCCAACTGAGCCCAGAGGGTCCTTCAGTCTCAGGTGAGGGCTTCAGCCTGGTCTGATCCCCAAACCCTCAGTGCAGCCCCCCGAGGCCTGAGTGACCCCCTTCCCCTAGGTATGCCCCAGAGTGCCTGAAAGAGTATAAGTTCTACTATGCGTCCGATGTCTGGTCCTTCGGGGTGACCCTGTATGAGCTGCTGACGCACTGTGACTCCAGCCAGAGCCCCCCCACGGTGAGAGCCAGGCCCGCAGCCCCACCGGGAGTTTGCTAGAGCAATTAGAAAACCATGTAGTTAGGTAGGGCGCTGTGGCTCACATCTGTAATCTAGCACTTTGGGAGGCCGAGACGGGCGGATCACTTGAGGTCAGGAGTTCAAAACCAGCTTGGCCATCATGGTGAAACCCCGTCTCTACTAAAAATACAAAAAAAAAAAAAAAAAAAAAAATTAGCTAGGCATGGTGGTGTGTGCCTGTAATTCCTGCTACTTGAGAGGCTGAGGCAGGAGAATCGCTTGAACCCGGAGACGGAGGTTACAGTGAGCCCGAGATCGTGCCACCGCACTCCAGCCTGGGTGACAAGAGGGAGACAAAAAAAAAAAAAAAAAAAAAAGACATGCAAGTCCATGGCAAGTGTTAAAAAACAAAACAACAAAAAAAAAACCCTGCCAAGCGTGGTTGCTCACGCCTGTAATCACAGCCTGTTGGGAGGCCAAGGAGGGCGGATCACTTGAGGTAAGTAGTTTGAGACCAGCCTGGCCAATATGGTGAAAGCCCGTCTTTACTAAAAATACAAAAATTAGCCGGGCGTGGTGGCGGGCACCTGTAATCCCAGCTACTAGGAAGGCTGAGGCAGGAGAATAACTTGAACCCAGGAGGCAGAGGTTGTAGTGAGCCGAGACCGCACCACGGCACTCCAGCCTGGGCAACAAATGTGAAACTCCATTAAAAGAAAAAAATTGAAAAGCATGCGTTCACATCCCGGCTCCTCACTCTTGCCAGTACTCACCCACAAGAGCTCACAGTACTGATCTGTAAAATGGCCCACCTACAGTGCAGGGAGCCACAAATTGTGACAGAAACCCTCAAACGGAGGCAGGCAAAATAGGAACAATTAATTCTGCTATTTGCAAACTTCATGGATGGGGGAGCCAGGGACTTCATCCTGGACCCTCGGATCTCATCAGGAATCCTGTTCTCCATCTCTCGGATCTACTGTTCTTTGTGGTATCATCTGTCAGGCAAGGTTTCTCTCTGTGTGGTGGTAATAGTGCCCCCTAGCCCTCAGGGAACCCATACCTCTGGCTCAGGGTCCTAGTGGTCCTTTTTTCTGCTTAATTCTCAGGACTTGGTCTGATTGGTCCAGCTTGGTTCATGTGTGCACTCCCAGGTCTATCAATGCGTAGTCATGGGCCACAGGGATTGGCCAGCCCTGACTTTGGGGGAGGAGCCAAGGGTGTGTTAGGGGCTTATTCCAAAGTGCTTTTGTGAGAATAAAAAGGCTAGTGCGGTGGCTCACTGCTGTAATCCCAACACTGGGAGCTCGGGGGCGAGAGCACCGCTTGAACCCAGGAGTTCGAGACCAGCCTGGGCAATGTAGTGAGACCTTGCATCTTCTTTTTTTTCTTTTTTTTTTAGACGGAGTTGCTCTGTCGCCCAGGCTCGAGTGCAGTGGCGCGATCTCGGCTCACTGCAAGCTCCGTCTCCCGGGTTCACGCCATTCTCCTGCCTCAGCCTCCTGAGTAGCTGGGCCTACAGGCGCCTGCCACCACGGCCGGCTAAT